GAGGGATTTTGTGGAGCCTGCACTTGAGGGTTTCTAGAAATAAACGGTCCCACTCTAAACTGGTCTTTGAAGTGGAACGTGTATTCCTGATAAATTTGGGGTGACATTGGACCCAAAAGTTGATGCTATGTGCAATATGGTGGAGGGAGGTAATTTTTTTTTTTAAATTGCGATGTGTTTCCGGACCGCCTTAATGGATGAGCATCTTTGGATGGAAACATTACCCAAACGTCGCACGAAAATCTTTCATGAGACGACCATTTACGTCGTGCTATACCTGACTCGATTATTCAAACACCAACTGCACACATTCGCCACGCTACCCGACGAATTTGTAAAGATTGCAGCACTCATTGCCTGTATGTTTCCTTTCATTTAACTTACCAAAAAAATAACCTTTGATGCATATTGTTGTCCATAATGAAACAATAATATTGTCCTGCATTTTCTAGGATGATACATCAAAGACCTCTGGGCAACAGGTACTTTCCCGCACTACGCAAGACCCTATTCATAGCAATACAACAAAAAGCCACGTGCCAGACAGTGTCCAAACAGTTGCCAGACAGTGCGCTGGAAGATAATTGACTGGCGGCTGTGGTATGCAGATATGAAGGGAGATGGTCGTGTCAAGTTACAGGTCTTTGTTGATGTTTCAATGAGACTTGGCAGGAGGCCTGGTCGAAAGTTTGTTGACACGGCCTGGGTGTAGCCCTGGCTGCAAAGTTCATTGAACCACCTGATTTGGCAAGGGTTGAATGAGGATTAGATAGGAGGTGAACGTTATTGGCCCTTAACACATTTTTATTAAAAAAAATGTTTTTTTTTATGCCCCAGGGGCATCAGGTCACTCCGCCCAGGCTTAACCAAATCAGCAATATAATGATTCGATGACTACAACACTAAAACGTAGGCCAAATTTGAAAAAAAAGGTTGAGGAATGGTTAACGTCAATTTGTACAGTCAATATGGTTGTTTAAAAATGTTCTTTTATGTTTGGTTATTAAAAAAAAAATATCCTCCAAGTTGATACTATTGCAACCAACTCATGGTCATCTGAAACTAGGGAGGCAGGCCACGACATTCATTGATCTTCTTCAAAGAGATACTTGGCTGAAATCACCATCGGAGATGCGTACATTAATGCTGAAAAAAGACATCTGGAGAGACTTCGCTTCCATCGTTCGATCGGAAGATCAACCAAAGTAGGTCACGTATGTTCATCCCTCTCACTTAGTTTGGGCGCATGCGCAAAAATCTCGGCTAATGACAGTGACTGTCGAAATTGCAGCGTCGCGGCCGAGGAAAGACACCAATTTTCATCTGAAACATACTGTTCGTTTTGCTAGATAGGGTGAAATACATGCCATCGGATGAAATTAAATGAGTTTATTTTTATTTTATTCACCATATTTTTGTTTTCAAAGCCGACATTTAAAAAAAAATGTCGTTTTAGATCGTTGTTTGATTTCCATTTCCATGCAATCTTCAGCAAAAAGGGCGAACTTAAGTTGGGATTTCTTTTTAATGTTCTCCAGTTTCCCCAAACATGCCACTTATCACAGCATTTGAATGAGGTATTAAGAAATATTATTACAGGATTTACGAGTTATTGCAAATAGGTTTGCTTTCCTTAGGTGGCTTTCATTTTTTGTTTCCGACCGCACGTTTACATGTACGAACCGCGCGTCGTCAAAAACGATGTCACCGTGCACGGACGGCCAATGTTGGGCTGTCCATTGGAGCACTAGCACAGCTTGCGCCATGCGGAAAATCACGCTGTGCTATATGGGTCAGCGGAAAAAAACCCGAACAAATAAAACGTTGACGGATATGTCCTTTATTTGATGACAAAGAAAACATACAGAATGTCCTCATGAATATTGATATAGATGATGGACCCTTCAAACTGGAGGAGGTTAGGAATGTGAAGACGTCTAAGCAAGGGTAGAGTGCGGGTCCAGATGGCATCCCTCCAAAGATGCTTAAAAGCGAGCTTGATGACTCAAGTTTTGCATACGGCGTAAATGATGAATGACAAACCTGCCCAATGATCCTTATCAAACATCATCCTCGTCCCAAAAACTGGTACCTCGAGGAAGACTGACAACTACCGTGGGATCAGCCTAACATGTGTCCAAGCCAATATCTTCAACCGCCTGCATTTCAACAGTATCAGGACGGCCATAATCCCCAACCTGAGATTTATTCAGAACGGCTTCAGGGAGAAGAGGATTGCAGTCTCGCAAATCCTGGCCCTCCGAAGATTCATTGAAGAGGTTGAGAAGAGCAATCTGCCAGATGTACTGACTTTCATCGACTCTATCCAGATGTACTGAATTCCACCACCGAACTCGAGGCAAAATGATCAGGATCTTGAAGTCCCTCCGTCGACTTCTTATGGTCATTGAGGTTACTAACACCGACATCACTGCCAAAGTTGTCACCCCCGATGGAGACAGAAACGTGTTGATCATTTTCCCTGGAGTTCTTCAAGGTGACACGCTCCTGACGCCTTTCCTGTTCACCATAGTCCTCGACTACGCCCTCAGACAAGCACTCAAGGATGACAAGGATCTGGGCTTTAACATCACACAAAAGAAGTCCGGAAGAATCGGTCCAGTCATCCTGTCTGATCTCGACATTGCGGATAACATAGCAGACCAGAGAGGTCCATGAGCTGCCCAGCAGAGTGGAGTCAGTGTGTGAGAAAGTGAGTTGCACCTCAACGCCAAGGAAATGGAGTACATGGTTTTGCAAAATTGGCGATCATTGGCTCTGGTACGGAAAGTTCTTCATGCAATGAAGCCAATGTAAAGGTCAAGCCTGTCAAAGAAGCTCAATTTGAGATACTTCCAAGCGGCAATCGAGACGATTCTTCTCTACGGCATCGAGACGTGGACTGGATGCTCAGGATGGCACAGTGTGTCAGCTGGACGCTTCAGTGGACGCTTCAGTGCTCCGTGTTTGAAATGACGCTTTGAGAAAAAACGAACTGGCTTCATGTGAAACACGTAGGTTTTGCTTTTCTTTCAATCTGTCAAGGTCATAGCTTTTTTTCTTAACTGATGTTTTTTGAAGGATGCAATGTAAAGTATTGTGGGAATCGGAGAAAAAAATTCAGGAGCTCCTTACTTATTTTGTTGGAATTTGCACTCCATATATTATGTATACAAATGTATACAATTGTATACAATAGGAACTTGAGCAGACGTGTGCCAGAGTTAGCTCTTGGACTGCACAAATAGCACGCACGTATGCATGGAGGCTGACGGACTGGGCTTTCTGTTTTACAAGCTTCTGGAAGACAGCTATAAATCTGTATCCTTTATTTAAGAACCTGATACTTGGGTGGGTGCCTTTGTTTAATTAAATATTTAAAATGTAACTCTTAGATCGGAGAATGGTTTAGAAAATTGTGTGTAATGGTGGTCTCAATACTCATTGGAAATGTTTAGGGTATTAGCTGAGTCTTACTCTTCTGGAGGCCTTACTGATTTTATACCGGTAAAGGCCCTCCAGTCTTACAAGATGTCACCTTTCATCTGGGTTTGCACCTTCTTGTCTTCCGGGGAAGAGAATGGATGTTTGAGTTTGTCATGTGACATGACAATATGGCGGATCCTCTCTGACGAGGCGACCCATGATTAGTGGCTTCACCGCTACATAATGAAACAAATACGTTAAATGTGCACCACTTTTGTCGTACAAAATCCAATATATATATATATTAAAGCAACCGTTCTATTGATCTATTTCTCCCTGTTTGGTTAATGCAGCAGTTCTTTGCTTTATGGTGAAGGAGGTACTTGTGCAGGTATCCATGGCCGGCTGGCACATACAGTACGAGAGATTTAGTTTCTATACAATAGTCATCACCACGAGAGGGCGCAGTACCAAAAATGTATAAAACCCGCCTGTTGTCAACTTGGGGTTCATGCAATAACGCTTACAGTTGAATGCCTGATTAAACTTTGTCCCCAAGTGTTTTCCGTATTTGGCACAGATCCCCAAGTACATTTATTCCGAGTGTGTCTTATCAAGATAAGCTCTGCAGCTAATGGTCTTGTCATCAAGCACTCAGGTTGCCAAGATGTTACAGTATCGTTGAATGTCGAGAGTGATTTTTGTACCCACTCACGGCTTGCACTACATTCACAGCTCTCTAAAAGCTACATTGTGATACAGATCTGGTTTGAGTTTTTATTCAAATTAGCAATATGATAATTCGATGACTACAACACTTAAACCCAATCCAAATCCAGACCAACTGATACAAAGACCATTTCAGAGTAACACCAATTGTAAGTCGTGTTATCATACCAGGTGTGAAGCCGCGGTAGAGAACAAAATGTGACCCTAGGCACGAGTTCAATGCATGATCGAGTTGACTTTGAACCTCTCGATTTGTATTGTGCCACATAAATAGCATTTTGTTTGTAACTAACAGTGAGCAATAACAGTTGTATACATTGCACAGTACACGGAGAACCAGTTCCATTGGTCCAGGGAAGTCTGTTTACAAACGGCTACATCTTGGTCACGCCCTTTCTAGTATATGAGACCATCAAATGATCTTCAAATGTGTTGAAATTGATCTACCGGTACGGTTTCCCAAGCACATCAAAGGTAAGTGTCAAAGATTGTATAGGAGTTTACATTTTCAATTCACTTCAGTGATGTGTTTTCATTAAGAATTTCAGCCATTTTTTAATTTATAGATGCATATACTAGCTAAAAGCGCAACAAGATTTAACATGGATGTCCATAACCATGTACCGCTGAAAGTAGGGTTTTACCGACTAGACAGATTACTGCATAAAAATATTGATTCCCGTTCTAACATAAAATATAGGGACTGTACGCTTCTGAAATATCGATTACTGATCTATTGCAAGTATGTTTTTTAACCCATCCTGCATTCAAGAGACCAATTGGAATAAGTATCGTCTTATGACGACGATAATTTGTGATTTTATTTACTCTTATGTTTTTAGATAATGGCGGAAGCTGCAGCCAAATCTGTGCTGGGTACGATCAGTCGGGGACACCTCGAATGCCCAATTTGTTGCTGTCGTTTCACCGATCCCAAGATACTGGACTGCCTGCACAGCTTTTGTTTAAACTGTCTAGACAAGCTCATCAGCGGACAGCAACCCAAGGCAGACGAGATTACCTGCCCGGTTTGCAGACGGGGGACTGCAGTACCAGACACCGGATTGCAGGATCTACCCAACTGCTTTTTCCTGAGTTCCCTCGTCGATGAATTCAACAAGCAGGAGCGGTTAATAGGAGACGCACCAGCGGATACTCGTACGTGTGCAGAATGCGACGATGGCATAGAATCCGTCTCAAGATGCTTAGACTGTGACGGAAACATCTGCCCGAAATGTCTGAATATGCATCGAAAGACAAAATGCAATAGGAGACATCGGATCGTCAACTTTGATCAAACTAGAGTAGCGGTACATCCTGCGGAATCTAGGAAGAAAGATAACCCGCAATGTAACAAGCACACTAACCAGGAACTCTGCATTTATTGCGAAACATGCAAGATGTTGGCGTGTGCAAAATGTGCTGCGTTCGATCATCGAACAGCGGAGCATGAATTCCGAGAAGTTGCCGATGCCATACGATCGCTCCGTCAGGATGTCGGCGAGATTCTGCAAAAGTTCGAACAGAGAAGAGAGGAATTTAAAGTCGCCGACGATTTACTGACGCATACCAGGAACAGGTTGAGAAGCATAGTATCTCGGGCTTGTAAAGACATTAACGCCAAAGAGGAAGAAGAGATTGCAAAAATCAGGAATAAATCTCGCCTTCTGAGAGACGAAGTAACACAAATCGGAGAAGAACGAGATGGGAAGTTCGGGGAAGTGCTGAAAAGCAACCGTGACAAGATGGAGCGGGCCGAGCAAGTAGTAGCGACCGTCAAGGAATTGATGCGGCAAGCTGACGACTTTGAGCTTTTGGACCTCAAACCGAAGGTGATGCATAACCTTGACTTCCAGAGGGAGCTCAAATTGGAGCATGTACAGCATGAGCTCTCATTCATCGGGGTCAAATGGCAAGATGTCGTGGCAGATACAACCCTCGGGGAAGTACTTCAGGAGGAAAAGTGGCAGTTGAAAAAAGAGTTTGGTAAGTGGGGGCCGGAAGTTGGAGAATTTCAGTGTGCCGCAGGCGTCGCGTGTCGAAGCAATGGTGACATTGCCGTGACAGACATAACCAAACGGCAGTTGATGATTTTTACTTCTGCTGGAGAGTATAAATCTAGTGTTGGTCGGGACAAGTTGAATGACCCCTGGGACGTTGCTGTGACCTCTGACGACTTAGTTCTGGTCACTGATGAAAATCATGTAAATGTGTTTGACTCTAGTCTAAAATTCACGCACCGGTTCGCACCATCACAAAACAAGGAAGACGTTGATACAGAGATTGATCTTACTGGTATCGTTATGGACAAGGAGAATCGGATAGCAGTGGCAGACAGAGGGAGAAGGCTGATATCTCTCCACCATCTGGATGGGTCCTTGATTACAACCATTCCAAATGACATGGTCGGTGGTGGTTTGGCCACAGGGATCAGGGAACGCTTGATCTTCACAAACTACCAGGAGGCCAAGTTGATGTGCACTACTTATACGGGAGATGAGGTGTTCAATGTCAGCACTTCACTTGACGGTGAACCTGTACGACCCTTGCGCGTGTGCTGCGATGAAGCTGGGGACATCTATGTTTCTGTTTGTCTCGTAAATGATGAAGGCGGTGAGGTGCACCATTATTCACCCGAGGGGGTATTCATTGGGCGGGTGGCTCGCGGACTTGACTTTCCCCGGGGCTTGGCATTCACGCAAAGCGGAGACCTTCTGGTGGCTGATAAAAACTCAGTTAAATTTTACAACGTATGTTAGCAAGAAGCTCTCTTGTGATTTAACAACTACCTGCCGAAACTAAACACGATATGCTAACATCGGATTGACGCATATATACAGTGTGCCATTAACGCTGACAATTTGGGACGACTCGACATTGTGATGTTCCTCTCTGAATTAACAGGAGAATCTTTCTGACACACACAATCTCCAAGACGCACAAGGAGATTATCGTTGAATTTGGTTGTAGATTCCAAAATAAAGGTTGCCCCACAACAAATCTAACTGTCGAAAATCAATTAATAAAGGTATACTGCATGTTAGTTTTGGAATATGAACATAATTACCTCTTAAAGTCAGATAACCACTTTACAAACTGTATTTCATTCAAATCGATGCATGAAGACAAGCGCTATGCTTAATCGAACTCATGGGTTAAGAATCGTATTGGGCCACTTTCCTTGAAAGTGAGAAAGCGCAGTTAGACAAACACACACAAGATGTATTTCTTTTGTTCAAGAGTAACGTGTGACTTATTTTACTGGCTTTGATTTATAAACTTGATCAATAAAAAAAGTGGCCCATTCAAGTGGTTTTTCAAGTTCCGTATTGTGATTGAAGCTGTATCTTTTGAACACCACATCCCTATGAAACCAACTAAAATCATTTTGAAGGCCAATTCTTCTACTCAGCAATACATTATACATGATTTTGAATACTGCTCCCACTTAAAAAACAAACAAACCCGATTCGAGTGTTTTTTTTTATGGGACATTATAACATGAAGGTAGAATGATAGTTGCAATGCCGTTTTTTCACTTTATAGTTGTGGCTTGGTCCAAGAAACATTTTGCGTTTTGAAGAATAAAAATTATATTAATAGCGAGAAGTTACTTATGGTGTACAAAGTAATTGACCTGTCCCAGCTGAGGGCAATGGAGTTCTGATATGCTCTTCCCACATCGGTCATTATTTTAATGGACACCAGAATATGTGTAGTACATTTGTGAAGTTTCTATCCGACCTGTTAATACATTTTGTTATAGTGGTCAGTAAAAGTCGGCACTCTCATATGCATGCGCCCTCTGATGGACATTATACATGCTCAATGTAATGGAAAAGTTAGCATTTAGGCCTACACCTGTTTTAATATTTAGACATTTTGTGACGAAGATATGCCCTATTGCCATAAACATGGTGTCAAAATAACTGCAAGACATCAGAACAACTATCAAAGAAACTTGGTAGAATTGAAAAATTGCATTGCGACGATAGGAGCTAAAATGTAAATGCTGGGGGGTTTCGGCCTCTTAAGTTATATTTTCATGTTCCACAAGTGCCAAGGCATCAATAAAAATTGTTTCATTTTCCCAATTTTAATTTGAAGTACATTTGCACAGCTTCTATTCGATCTGTTAGTCGGCACTCGAATGCATGCTTTCAGATACATGTACTTTTCAATGGGAAAAGTTAACATTTGGACATTTTGTGATGAAGGTATGCCACATTTTCATAAACCTTGTGTCAAAATAACCGTAAGGCATCTGAGGAACTGTCAAAGAAGCTTGGCAGGATTTAAGAAATGCTTTGCGACGATAGGAGCCAAAATGTACATGGAGGGGGTTGAGGCCCCGCCTCTACCTGGCTTTTCCTGCCGGTCTTAAGGTAATTAATCTGACCTAAAAGCCCTCTTCAGTAATATATTCATGTTCCACAAGTGCCAAGGCATCAATACAAACTGCTTTCATTTTCTCCTCTACAGTTGAGTTGCAACGGTATCAGCGAAAAGGAAAAAGAGGGGGTGACGGCCACGCCCACCCTCCGCGCTTTTCGGGCCGCTCTTAAGTTAATTGGTTTGATCTAAAATCGCTCTTAAAGGGAACATACAACATTTGCAAACATGGAAAATAAAACTACCAAGTTTTTACGAAATACCTTACTAGGATGTTGGTTAATGACAGTCTCAAGCATATTGTAAAATTATGGCACCTGGTGTGAATTCATTTTCAAGAAAATGGTATTTTTGTATACATTTCCAGCGGTGGTCGGCCGACCAGCGTTGGAAAAACCTAACTATTTTTCAACTACTGCTCAAAATGGACCATTTTTCTAGTCCAAATTTTGTTTGCTATTGGCTACATGTTCATGAACGGGTGCAGGCCAGCTAGACTAGTTCCTACGCCTCACAATTTTCCATCATCTATACATTGATCCATTTTATATATTGTGGAGTCAGGGAACCAGACTACTTGAACATTTTTTGTTTTTCTTGGTTTTTCCAACCTTTTCGAACACAAAACTTCAAAAATGTCAGTGTTACAATATTTGATCTATTATACTAACCCCTCAAAAAGTTCATTTCTGAAAATTACAGCAAAAGCCAATGATGTACATTATATTTCCATAATCTACAAGTTCCAAACTATCAAATGATACTGGTTTTGTTCTTGTTCTCAAAATTTTGATTAAATGCAAAATTGGCCACATTTGGCATGGCGCCAATGTGCCTTTGTCTGATCTAGCGAAACTTAAGACTGGCCATTATGTGATCAGGGTCGATGAAACTATGCTTTAAGACAATCAGGTGATTTGTTTCCAAAATTTTGATTAAACCCTATCCTGCTCTCAGTCTAATACACATGGTTAGCGTCACTTCGTAAAAACCGGAACACAGCGTTATCTGATTTTTTAGTTTTCACGAAGTGTACTTATTGTTAAGTAGTTCGATTACTCATTCATACATTTGTAGTAACATGTGTTTTGTTCAATAAAAATTATACATTAACGTGTCATTCAAGATTACAGCTTTCAGAAAATGCAACAAAATATGAATTTTGAGACTAAAACGATATTCAGATCACCGTTTCAATACATCGTCAACTTCAATCGCTTTTATCTCGAAATGGTCATGAGACTGGGGGCGTAGCAGCTGCAGGGCTATTTAATTGTTGGTATCAACATATTACTAGATTAGTAATATCTGTCTTTAAACGCTTGAAATCTCGTCGTTTGAAACTCACCCACTGACTCGTCAACTTTGTTAAATTTGTTTCACGGCGGATCAAAACAAAACACTTCAGTGTGGACTTCAGAGCACTTTGAGAAAACCCAGATGTATTTTTGTAGGCCTAATTAGACAGATGTACTTCAATATATATCGATGCGCGATCTGGCAGGATTTAAAACAAACCACTTTTTTGTATTAAGAAAAACTATGATAGTTTAAGACATTAAAAGTATATAAAATGCCATTTGGTCCAATCTACTTGCATTGTGACAGAATGTCGAAGTCACTGAAATATTACTTGTAAAGTTTGAGTTTATGCTCAACTTGAGTTGGAAGACTGCCCTTTTTTTATATACCACTGCCTACTCCCCCCCGGAAGCCTTTCTTTTGTTAACAAGTGTATTTTTTTCTGAACAAATGCCCCTTTTTTTAAGTCGTGCCCTTTTAATGCCATCGGCTGTTACGGGTGCCTTTTTGTTAATTTCGCGCACGTATCGCCCTGAAAAGCACCATATATTGTCCGTTAGTGTGCATAATCGTCGGTTTTATGGTACCTGATCCCCCCGCCCCCTTCCCCCTTTTTATTTTAAGTACCCTTTTCAAGAATTGTTTTTATCCCCCAAATCAAAACGACCTTGATACGCCCCTACTTTGAAAGTTCCTAAGTTATATTTAAAATTCTCATGACACCCTTTGCCATTTTATTGGAGATAGGACTCCAGCCTACGTCGTGTACACTCAAGGTTCGAAGGGGTATTAATTTGCTTTTAATATATGCAGAGTTAAGGTATTTCCGTCAAATGGTCATGAGACAAGGGCGGATCCAGAACACAATTTTTGGGGGGCCAAAAAAAGTTTGGTCCCCCCAAAAGTGGGTTCAAAAAATTACGGCGTGGAGTTCGGGGCCCGCTTAAGGGCCCCGTATTTGTTTTGGATTCTAGATGCTCTGTGGTGCGATCTGAGGCAATTTCTGACCACTTTAACCAATGTTTTTTTGAGGAAAAGATGGTGGTGTACTCATTGCCTGCCTTTATTGCGATGTCACATAAAAAAAAAAAATTGGTTTCGTTTTATTTTTCCTTTTATCCGCCCTTTTCATGAGATTTACGGGGGAGGGGGGGCGTAGCAGCTGCAGTGCAATTTAAACGCTGCTTTCAAAATATTACGAGATTAGTAAGGCCAAACAAAAAAAATGGTGTGTTTACGGTAACCCGACCGACCTGGAATTGTTTCGGCCAAATTGCCGACCTCAAACTTTTTATTGCCATTTTGAAGGTTGATAATTGACAAATTTCAAACATTTCAAGTACTTTTAATTATTTGCCACGAACAAAAAACATTTTCCACACTTGAATCTGACCATGATTTGACACAAACATACCTGTGTTAAACGTGCGAAAATTGCGATGATCTCAAAACTTTAATTCTCAAACTTTACGAAGTACGATTATTTTTGCACAAAGGCATCGGGGTACGCACGCCTGGCTGGCCGATGGACGGCATGGTTCTCCCCACGTACAAACGTACGTACTGCGTATCGGCCCGATAGCTGGAATTGCGGCCGGCCCGATACGCCTACAAAAAAATGCCGATCACATTTTTTAGCCCCTGATACGCACAATATAATTATCATACACGCCATTAAAATGCAAAATTTGATCGTTACATACGCCATTATTTCAAAATCTTGACCAAAATCCTGTTTTTCCGATGCATGTGTGATCAAAATGCACACGATGATGTGTTCTGTCGACCACCAGCAGCACCCAGCTAACATACACCATGGTACACTGGTTCCCTTCGCCAGCTAACGGAATCAATGCTATGATGAAGGACCGGAACCAGTGACTACTGCCTCTCTAGCTCGATCCGGTCCATACTTCGTATCATACAGCATGATGATGTAGTGGGCCGAAATTGGAAAGTAAAAATATTACCAAACAAACATAGCTGGAGTACATGGGCGGAAATCCCGTGGGGGGGGGGGGGGGGTGGGGGACAGGGGGGACACGTCCCCCTCATGAATTTGGTA